TTGTCCGGTTTCGCGACGTCGCGGTCTCTTCCTCTTCTGTTCGCGAATTTTATGAATATCGCGATACTCGGTCGGATTAGTTTATTCTAAGCGCTAGAGTTTCTTTCGGCGGTATTTTTTTTTTTTCCGAACAGGTGATCGTCGAGGACCTAACGCGCGGAAGAGTTCGGTGGTGCACCGAAAAACTGTTTCGCGTATTTTCTCGATCGTGCGCTCCGCGAGACCGTCGGGTGTGTAGCGATCGCGTTTGAAGTGATTCGATGCTTCATCAAATTAATTGAGACATAGGTAAGATTGATAATTCGTGATGATCATTATATACGCTTTGTTGATTTTTTAATCATATGAATTTGTTAAAATATTTGTTTTTATCGTTAATTATTTAATGGTAAATATTTTGCACGTAATTATTTAAAAAGTATTACATAAATAGAACAAAAATTTGCTTGTTCTTTCTTATAAAAATTTAAATACAGATATGTGCAATTAATGAATAAAAATAGTATGTGATATTTAAAATATGACATTCATAATATCTCTATTTATTTTTAGTAAATGATGATAGTTTTGGTTTATATTTTTCTCAATTTTTTTAACCAAATGTTAATTATTAACTAAATAAAGTTTTGCCGGCTCGTGCATTAATTTAATAGCCTTTCTTAACAAAATATTAATTGCTTTTTAACGTGTATTTTGACTGCCTAAACAAATACTATCTTAAATGTAATATTACGATATTATAATTTTTTTAAGTGACAAAAGACACAAAAATGACGGAATTTATTCGAAATAATTAATAATCAATTTCCGCATTCATTATATAACGGTAACGAATTTTATTTAATGCGCGAAGAAATTATCCTGTTGAGAAATGTAAATGCGAAATATTACGAGATGTTGGAAACAAAAACGAACAGAAGCATCGCACGGTCCAGGTTCGAGATATGATACCGTTGATAAATTATTTGATTGTATCTGTTTCATTGCGTTACAACTCGCAGTCACTTCCTCATGAAGATCTCGCTGCTCTTCTTCCTGTTTCTCTTTTTTTGCATCATTACGTTACGTTACACTTGTTGAATCGTGTTGCACGGTTGTCTTACCATATTGTCTCATTAGACGATTAAAGGTAATAGGAGCACTTTTGGAATTTATGCGCCACGCTCCAAAAGAGATCTGAAAATGAATGGACAGATTATTCTAATATGCTAGGTGGCCTATTTCTACCAAATCAATTGATTGTTGAAGATGATAGGATCTTTAACGCATATGAAATTGAATAATTTTGAACATTTAAGATTTCTTTAGCGTTAAAATTTTCATAAATTTAAATAATTAAATTAATATGTTTGTTTATAAATGTATATATATATATATATATTTATATTTGTAAAGTTTGATCAGTTATTAAAATTTATCTTTTTTTAATTTATAAAATATCAATAAAAGAATTTTTGTTAATGCAAACTCATTTCAATATTTCCTAATAGAAAGAGGATAAAAATACGAGATATTCTATAAAATATTCTGTTACTTGAAAATAAGTTTTAAAAATTATTAAAGGTTCCGGCAAAAGATCAACTCTGTGTATATGCAAAAAAAAATAAAAATAGTTGTTACGTTTCTGTTACGTGAACACTTTCAATTTTCGTTCGTTGTTGTCCTCTCTCTCTCTCTCTCTCTCTCTCTCTCTCTCTCTCTCTCTCTCTCTTTCTCTCTGTCATTAAATTATTTAGTTTTTCACGCTTCACTGAAACTGTTTTTTACAAAGAAAGCTTCACACGAAGAAGAAATTAACTAGAGCGTCTTTCGCGATAGTGAAATAGCAAAATACTATCGTCATTAATGTGGATTATAAGTTAAGGATCGGCACTTTTGCGTGAAAAATGTCTATTACGTGAAACGGTCACGGTATGAAGACGTATCCAATTTTCACAATACAACTGCTTATTTATTCTTTTGAATATGATCTGATCCTATCGCAATGAAATTAATGCGATTTACTGACCTGGATGATCGAGAGACTCACTGTCGGCCGATCATCTGCTATTCTTCATGCCTTGTCGTTTTGTTTCTTATCCACTATGATCTAATTCTAGCGGCAATGAATGTTCAGCGTTCGTTAGAGCAAATCTGTTTGTTAAATAGCGTGTCTTTATTGCGCGCGATCTTTTCCGCTGGCGTTCAACGTTCCAGAAATGGGGATATCGTTCTTGCGATCTCAAGGGATATTATATGAATAATCTTTGGTGATTTCCTCTATCAGTCAGCTTGGAGATTGACACAAGCTATTTCCGTTTCTTTCATTTAAATTTTCTATCATTGATAATATTTTTAAGGATTATAGATATTAGATAGATATCTATTGCATCTTAAGCAATGTTGATACAATTAATAAATTTACAAAATATTGAATCCCTTTCCCTTATATAATTTCCCTTATATATTTATTAATATATAATTTATTTTTTTAATTAATCTGTCAATATCTTATTAATTCCTTTCTTTATTATTTATTGATATAAATTATTATATACCTATATATTAGATTTTACTCGTTATCAAATGATTTGAATTAGGTACAGAGAGGGGAAGAGTAGTTCTCCGTAAATGCATTTGCGTCTATTTACGCTAGAATGTTATAGAAAATTGCTACCATGCTTGCCATCGAAAATAGTCAGTGCGTAAATAAAAAGAGCATGTATAGTAACAATTATTGTTGCGTACAACGGTTCTATTCATTAGAAAATTATCGACTCTATTAAAATAATTATATTCAAATTGAAATTCTTATTCAATTTTTGCAATTATTATATAAATGCTTATAGTATACAAATGCTTTAATTATTAAATTAAAGCGTTTATATACTACATGCAATAATGGTTATTATAAGCATAGCAAATAATAATCTCTTAATAATATTTTTTCAACTTCAAATAGTTTATGATATTTGAAAATTAAACTCGACATGCTTAAAATTCTGGTATTTTTTTATATTAGCCAGGCAATTAATTGTATTTGATAGTATTGCATGATATATTATATTATTGATCTGACACATTCCTTCAGAATTATAATTATAAATCTTCTCACAACATTGTTTGTGGCTCAATAAAATTGCTTGCGATTTTCTGGTTCATAAAGAAACATTTAAATGGTTAACGGTACATGCCTCGTAGAATTCGCGTATCGGATTTTACGGCTATTCTACCAATAGAATAATGTCTTGTCGGACTTCTCGCACACTTTGACTGCATTCCCTGAAATGTATGATGTGGCGTCATATACGATGGACACCCGAAGAAGATTGACGCCCGTTCAGTACCGTTAGAGGACACAAGTATGAGAATGGAAAAAATGCAACGGTAAAAAAATCTCCACGTGACGATCATCTGTGATCGTTAGAGAATTCCATCCAAGAATTATAGGGTTTATAGCGCATAGACTACTTCAGGTCAAGACCAATTGTAAGAGCCTTCACTGAAACTTTCGGTAGAGATTTCAACGCAGGAGGAAGAACGTTCTGTTCGTTTATCATCAGTCTGTCCCTCTTCTCTCCTGTTCCGACATTTCGTGGCCGCCGCACTTTATAACCGTTATTTAAAATATCATCTACACAATGTATTGTTTTAAAATTTAATTTATATTTATATATCGATATTCGATATATAAATATTTATATGTGTCAATTATGATTCTTATTCAGAGGTGATTACGATGATTTTTATTCAACTTTAAATTAAAACAAAATTGTTATCTACGTTGCAATGTGTGGTATAAAATTTTACAAATTTTATTACGCAGATGAGTGCTTAACTTACGTCAATGGTAAAGTAATGTTATTGTTCGCATTCTGTGTGCATAGACGATTGGAACAATCGGAAATAAGCATCGAATACGAACGATGCTTTCAATCGAAACCTTAATTGACAAATCGATGATCAGAAATTCATGCCGTGTAACCTACGTAAACTCGCCAGAATCAACTGTCTTGACAATTGCGTCATTGCAATAATCATTAACAACCACATGCATTTTGAGTTTGTTGACTGTTCAATGTAGTTGCAAAATTCTTGATATTTAAACGAAAAACGTCTCAAAAATTGAAAATTCATATATAAATATAAATTTTAATTTATAAAATAAATATTAACACAAATTATACTACATTCCGAAACGTTCACTTTGAGGAAAATTTTACTCGAAATATATAATATATATTATAACGTATATTACATACCGAGTAAAATTTTCTTGGGAGAAGATTTTTGAAAGAGCTTAGAATACTTTATAGATGTCTATCTCTATCATTTATCGATTTTGATATTATTTAATATTTAAATTTAATACATCCATGAAATGGATATTAAATTTACATATATGTGCAAATTTAACGTTACATCATCCATATATCATCGTATATTTATGATTCTATTTATAAAATAGTAAAAATTAAATTCGCAAAAGAAGAAGAAGAAAATTAAATTATATTTCTATTTTGTTAAACATAAGTTCACAATAAATTAAAAAATAACATTTGGATAATATTCGCACTTTATAAAACATATTGTGTCAGATTATCGTAACAACTGTCGAAATATAAGTACATAGTACATACAAATAAAATAGCTGGTGCCCATCCTCATGAATATTAACGCAAGCGTCGCATCTTTTGTCGGTCGTAAAATTAAAACCTTCGACTTCCGCGCGTTTGCTCCACCGTTTCCGATCACCGTTCTTTCCTCATAAGAACCGCGCAATCGCGTCTTTCGTGAGATTACTTTTTGCGACCGATGTGTTCTCTTCCTGTTGACTTGTTCTCGATGATATAGTGCAACGAGAGATCTGTCCAAGATTGGAGAATATCTAGATTGTTGCTCAAGATCAGGTTCAGCGTTTGAGTGGGTCATCGTGTCGAGGACAGCCTCTAGCCTCGCGTATCTCGATTCGCGGGATCGTCCTCTATCTTTTTACAATTCGTTGCACATCATTCTCAATAATGCCACCCCAGAATTAGTAAATAAGTTGAGCAAAATTTTTCTATGGTCTTATGTCTTTTAGATTCTATTTAAATTTTTTCATTTTTGTTTCAGTGCGAAAATGCGGATGCAGCTGCTAAAGATCGTGGTGGTCCTGTTGGCAGCAGGATCGGGTGACACCAGACCGCAGAATGGTAGGTTTTACAAAAAATTATATGACGATATGATGATAATACATGCATATCTCGAATTAGGATGCGATCAGAAATGCAATAAAACGCTCGTTTAGCAATAAAACCGTGTAACGTGACGAACTGGTAGCAGGAAGCAGTGTTTTCTAAACATAAAATTGATGCTTTCGTCGCGTTGCAATTCGTAACCAATGAACCGTGCTTATTCCATTGCAGATCTGTTATCTCTAATGTATCTTAATTAGCTAGAGAATGTTTAAGTAATGATTAGTTAGTAATTAGATATATGCATTTGCGTTTTATGTGACAGATCTGTGTACTTTGTATCTACAATTACATACAATTCTCAACTGTGTTTTTCTCTTTTTCTTAGTAACGCGCTATTCATTTCTTCTTCAAAAGGATTGAATTTACGTTCAATGTTCCAATTATGGAGAAAACGCATAAGAGAGCATTAATCGCGAGCGTAATACTCAATAGCATCAATTGTTGTAGCGTGTCAGATAACAACTTGTCTTCTTTAAAGCCGTAATTACACCACTGATTCTCGTGCACCAACGTTACCACCCGCGCAAAATTTTCTTGCAAAATCGAATTTCCTAAGACGGAAATGTTTAACTTGGTAGAATTTAAAGCATTGAGAAATCCTCGCGTTTTAACGGGACTGTAATTCCATGTATTTCGCTATTATTAGTGCATTATCATAAGTTTTGTCGACGTTGCGTGTGTCGGCAGTCGGTTTGTGTCGTTAGAATTCCTCTTTAAAATTGAAAATAAAAATTCTTATCGTTTTTTTACCTTTCAGGCGCAGATTCGCAAGCGAAGACGATAGAAAGGAACGACGCGGGATGGAGAAGCATCCAAGTCTCGAGCAAGTCACACGACATTGTTCGAGACGATAGCAGGTATACGGGGACTTCCGGAAGTAATAGAAAGTATATCACACATTTCCGCGATAGTGCCGTAGATTCGTCGCGTGAACAGAACGTAGTCAATTCACGCGCCAGCAATTTCACAGCGGCGCGATCGCTTAGCGTTCGTCGTTCCAAGATCGATGACATTTGGACGATGCCTAAATTTAGAGCGATAAATGCTCCTCCATATTTTTCAAGGACGAATGTGTTAGGTGATATCGCGAAATTCGCTACTGTTGTTCAAAATTCGAACGATGTAAATAAACCTTCGTTTCACGCTTCCTCTGGCAATTCTAAAATAATTCCGAATGAAAGGACAGATTGGACAAGATTTAGCTCAAAAGTCGGTCAAATGGATTATTCCGGAAAGATGAATGCTAAGAATTTAGAGAGATCAAAATCTGCCATGATTTCGAATGA